TAAAAATCATCTCTTTCAAGTATAGCCAATAAAATTGGTTTTTCCAATAATTCAAATTCACTTGACTGGAATAATTTTTCATCATAATTACAAGATTTTTCTAGGCAAAGATTTTTCAATTTCTTAAATTGTTCTTCATGAGAGTAGATTGATCTTAAGATGCTAATTGGATTTTCTTTAATGTAATCCTCATGTTTTTGATAAAGTACTTCATTGTGTATTCATAAGATGACTCAATACCAAGTTCATCAGCTGCAATCAAATAATTGCAATATATCAACTCCAGTATAATTGTCTAATTCAATTTTACAAGTATATAAAAATCTTTTGAATGTAAAATAAATATTATTACTACTATTATCCTTGTGGGTAAAAAAAAAAACATTTATAAATTTAATAATGTAATGAGCCTACCTAAGTATAGTTTTAAAAAACATTTCATTAAGATTTGCTTTTTTAACAACATAATAACCATTTTCTTTTCTTGCATTAGTTAATGCATTTCAAAAAAATGGACAACAGGCACATATGATTGATGTATGTACATGAATTCCTTTAATGTTTGATTCTATACCAACATAAAGTTTTATATCATAAAAGTCTTCTGTATTTAGTAATCTTTCATTTTCCTTAAAATATTTTTTAAAAAATTTTTGTTAGTTACATAAAAAAGGAATTTAATTAATAAATATTATTTATATGGAAATTTTTTTGTAAATCTTCCTAAAATTCCATAACCAAATTGATTTTTATAAGGTTCCAAATCTATATCAAAATAACAATAAGTTCATTATTATAGTTTCAGACCTAAAAATCTATTATATTTATATCTGTGTGATAGGCAACATAGTGTAGACTATTACCTGCTTATAGATAGACCGCATTTTACTTATTTCTGGGTACTTGCATTGGCATCTATTTGATCTGATATCTGATGAGGATTTTGGCTTTTTTTAACTATTTGATTGCTTTCCATGAGGCACAATGTGCCAATTGTGAGGGCTATGCCAAACTGGATCCAAAGTATCCTGGCTTGCCAATGTGCCATGATATAATTTTTTATAAATAAACTATTTCATGGCTGAATGGAATGTAAAAAGTGAAATTAATGTATCTTTTTTTTTTGGTCAACAAGTAGGGTAGCAGGTTTATTTATGCATTTTTGAAGCAATTTATTAAACTACTTGATCAATGCACCATTTGAATATGAGGACATAGTGTCAAATTGCAATATATTTTTTTGCTTTGAGTTTGCATGGAAAAATTCAGAGTAAAAAAAATAATTATGTATATATCAAATAGTTTGCTATCTTGTCCATATAATTAATTTTGCAGCCAGAAAGCTTTAAGAAAGCTTCATGCAATTGGACCTGATGATAATTACATATTAGAATTTAAATAATGTGGTCTACATAGTATATTATGTTAATTATTGTATTATAAGATTTTTTATTATTCATAAATTAATAATTAAAATTCATGCATTACCACAAAGACATGAGCTTCTTAAGCAGCAGTGCATTGCTGTTAATATCAAACAATTAGAATTTATACCAGATGTCAAAAATTCAACTGAATTAATGTTGAGCAGAGTCCAAGATTGCAAAAAGCTGTATTCTTATTTTTTTATTAAAAAAATTAAATTATAAATTCCTTTAATAATATAAGCAGTTCATAATGTTGCATGAGTGGATTAACATAAATGAGATACTTAAATTCATACAGGTTGGTAAATAACTAAATATAATATCTCTTTGAAGTAATAAATATATTGTAAAATTGATTTATCTTATTTGTAGCATTTCAAGAAAGTTATGGATTACATATCAGTCCATTTGTATCCTACACCTACACTCAATGTATTTAATTGTTTGTTAGATAAAATAGAAGATATGATTGATGATTCAAACATAAAACCGATAAAAAATGCAGAAGAAAACTCTAAAAATATTATTCAACAACTGATGATTGAATTTATATAATAATTGGGAACAAGTTTTGCAGATGATGATCTTTTTTAAAAGCAAGATATTAATACCAAACTTTGTAGAACAAGGGGAGTTTTCACTGAGTTATTTGTTGAGTTGTTGCGTATCTGAAGTCATGCTGCCACTAGAAATTTGTTAAATGAAGAATTGAAGGCCACAGCTCGCAAAAGTTACAGTCGGGTATTAGACCTGGCATATGGTGGACGGACACTAACAGTGCATTTTATTGTGGTGAATAAGATACATGAATTATTATAACTGTTGAAATAATGCCAGGATATATAATGATGATCTATTGTATTTTTTTTTGTTTTCTTTTCATAATTTAAACACGGGCCAAGTAATGAGAATTGATTTGATGGGGAGTTTAGAGTTCGTACAATAATAATTCAACGCAAGTAATTATTATATTTATATCTTAAATTTAAACAATTATATTTATTGATTTTATAGAGTAGTGGGTGAATGAGGCATATGTTTCGGAAAGAGTGTTATCCAGGTACCATAGTGATTGGTATCTTTGTAACCCAATCCAAAGACAAATTTATTAGTTTTGCAGTAAATAGAGTCCTAATCATTTGAACATAATATCATCCTATTAGATGAAAAAGATATATATTCTAATTTGATTCGATTTTTCAGAAATTGATGAAATGAACCAATCCAACTAGACATAATGGATTGCTTGAATTGATTCAATGAATTGAAAATCGACAAATTGAAAGCTTGTATTATCATAAATTATATAATTATTTTATCATTGTTATTATATATATAGACTGAATTGGACTGTGAACCAAATCGATCTGGTATTAGTATCAAAGACTATCTGGACTGTTTTGACAGTTAAATTTGTTTAATTTAATTTTTTAAAAATATTATAATTCAATTCAAATTATTAATATATTTCAAAAGAATATATGCTTTATATATTAATTCAAAATTCATTCATTGTCTCTGAATGCTTGTTTCTTCTAAAATCCAACTTTTTAACAAATAATTCCAAGAACAGTTATTGAGACGAATTCATTCTTTCAATAGTTAGAGTTCTATGATACTTAATTCGAATTATTCGTTTTATTAGAATAAACTTTCGATGTAATTTGAATGCTCAAATTCATAATTCAATTCGAATAAAATTTCAATTAGTTTAAATACTCAAATTTATAATGAATAATTCGAATAAACCTTATTTGAATAGAAACCCTATCTACAGTCCAGGTCACGGTCCCAGCAGACCGGTCCTTTGGTTAAGCTGGCGATCTTTGAATTGGACCATTAATAACCCTAATTATAAATAAATATTGTTATTTTTTTATCTTTATTAGTTATATATTAATATGTTAAATATTACTAATTAGTTCTAATGTTATTTGTCATTTGGTGATATATAAGGGTTCGGATAATAATACATGATATGATGTCCACGTTATGATTTTTTTGCTTAAATTAAAATTCATAGAAACACCAAGATTATGACCTTTTTTCAAAGAGGGAACGTTGATTGATATGCATTTTATAGTGAACGAACCATCAGTTAACTTTATCTAGTCATTAATAGGAGCCTTATAAATGTCTAAAAAATTTTGGTCAAGTATAAGAAGAGGATTTGAGTAAATGCTAATACCTAAAATAATATACTGCATACATTCATTTAAAATAATGTGCCCACATATAATGAAATAATGAATCAAAATATCAATACTTTCTGGAATAAATCCATGTTCACACCTATCAATTGATACATAGAATTCCATCATTTCACACAAGCAAGTAACCATCCTTTTCTAATGAATGGGGGTTTAGAAATGTTAGCACAGCCTGTATCAGTGACTAGAAAGAATATATTTATAAGTAAATAAATTTCAAAGTAAAATTTAGATTAACTATTAATTTAATCAGGACCTCAAGATAGAATGATCAAATTTAACTAATTATTTGGATTAAATTATTAGAAGGAGAACACAATGTTGGAAAGAATGCACTAGATACAATAATTAGTATCATTAGTTAATTCTGGTCAAACACATGGCAAATGTATAGTTAATTTAAATTTGTAAGAACAGTCAGAATGAAAAAATGCTTCTAATAAATGTTGCAATTTCTAAATATTTTCACTATTTTCTGATTCTTGTGAAATATTTGATTTTATAGTTAATTTTATAAAACTTTCAACTTCAGTAGTATTAATTTCTAATAAATCTGACTCATATTCATGATCTAATTCATTATTCAAATCTTCTGAAGTAGAATTAAATTCTGTTGGCCCATTTTTTTTCTTTAATTTTGTAATTCATCAAACAATTCAACCAAATCTAATTCATTATAGATATATCTTTTTTTTTTAAGTAAAAAAATTGTTTATATTATGGATTTAAAATATTTTTGAAGATACTGTATTTTATTATTTTCAAATAAAATATGCCATCCTCAGATTTTTATTCAAATCATTTAACAGAATTGCTTCAAAGTATGAAGACCTAGTTTTTTAAAATTCCAGAATGAGCCCTAAAAGTTTTAACATTCTGATCTTCAAATTTAATTTCCATATAAAAGTCTGATTCATTTAACAAGTTTACTTATATATTTTAATGAAAAGGTTGTATTCATATTCATAAGGAGATATAAGGGGGGATACATTGTCCAATATTTTGTTAAATTGGTTTTGTTATTAAAAGTTTATAAAAGTTTACTAATATTACATATAAATTGGTTTTAAAACAACAACAAAATAATATTTCAATTATTTTAATTTTTATCAATTATTTGAAAAACTTCTAATTCATCAAATCTAATATTACGTGCTATATTGATGTTATTATAAAAATTAGGTCCACTATTAATAGTGCCATTATCACAAAAATCAAGATCCCCTATACTCAAGAAACCACCACCAAACTTAGGTAAAAAAGAAGGATTACAATAAATTGCATATTTACTATTAATAACATAACTAAATTGTGCAGTGTTAATATCATTTCTATTACTAACATTAAATATAAAACTGTCAGTTGTATTTTTATATTCACCCCATGTATCATGTCCATTCCAATTGAGGGGATTGTAGCCTCCAACTATTTGATCTGAATTTTGTATTTTCCCAACTACAAGTGTTTTGTTGATATTATCACATTTTTGATGAAACACATTTGCATTTAAACCATCTCTACTACTGTGATATAAAAGTTTAAATTCATATTTTACTTCTTTGAATGAAGTGTATAGTGGATTTTTTTTATCAATATAACTTGCAAAAAGCAATATTAACATTTGGTTAATTGTTACTGATTCAAGTTCTGGAAATATTGGTTTGCTATTTTGGATAATTCTTGATGGTAATAAATTTAAAGTTTGTTGTTCATCAGAAGCCACATAATAGTCTAAAAGTTTTTCCCATAAATCCTTAGGAAAAAGTTTCTTAAAAGGCATAATTTTGGAACGAAAATCCTTATTAGTGATATCTTTAAATCTGATCAATAAAATTAAATCTTTTAATGTGTTTCCCAAATCAATAAAATTTTGCTTTGTCCAAACTTTAACATAATTAATATTATTAATTTCTGGATGCTTGGCTAATCCCCATTTAAGAATTCCTTCCCAAATAATTATTTCATCAACATAAAAATCATCTCTTTCAAGTATAGCCAATAAAATTGGTTTTTCCAATAATTCAAATTCACTTGACTGGAATAATTTCTCACCATAATCACAAGATTTTTCTAGGCAAAGATTTTTCAATTCCTTAAATTGTTCTTCATGAGAGTAGATTAATCTTAGAATGTTAATTGGATTTTCTTTAATGTAATCCTCATGTTTTTTGATAAAGTGCTTCATTGTGTATTCATAAAATAACTCAATACCAAGTTCATCAGCTGCAATCAATAATTGCAAAATATCAACTCCAGTATAATTGTCTAATTCAATTTTACAAGTATATAAAAATCTTTTAAATATAAAATAAATTTATATTAATATGGAATAAAATAAAAATAAAACAAAAATAAAAATAAACATACTTAAGTATAGTTTTAAAGAACATTTCATTAAGATTTGCCTTTTCAATAATATAGTAACCATTTTCTTTTTTTGCATTAGTTAATGCATTTTGAAAAAAAGGACAATGAGAACATATGATTGATGAATGTGCATGAAATTCTTTAATATTTGGTTCTATTCCAACATATATCTTTACATCATAAAAAACTTCAGTGTTTAATAATCTTTCATGCTCATTAAAATATTTTTCATATATTGCTGAATCCATTGTTTTTAAAATTTTGAAAAAAAAATTTTTTTGTGAACAATTACAATTTACACAAAATTAAAATGATTGGTTCTGCCAATAGATTTTTAAAATTGATTATTTTTTCAAAGTTCTCTAGAAAAAACCTTTAAACTATACACTATTGTGTGATTCTTATATCATTGAAAATGGAGAAAATGAATTTTTTAATAAACCTTAATAATTTTTTTAATTTGTCAAGTTAATAATATTTTAAAAATTTTAATCATTCTTTGCCAACAACTATTAATTTTGGTCCCAACCAAAGTTTTCCTTGATTAAAAATTAGTATTTTATTTATCAAATATAAATTTATTGCTAAAAATAAAAATAAAAATTCTATTTTATCATATTTATTATATATATAACAATGTTAAATGCAAAGTTTTGGAATAACAAAATCCTCGGCCCCATTTTCCATAGATCTATCTCTCATTGACACTGAAGTCATCTTTTTTAACTAGATTTTCTTCAGTGTGATAATTTTCAATAAATTATTTGATTGAACATTTGCAGAATGACAAGTCGACATCCATAATTTTATTACATCAATTCCAATATAATTATTAAATTCAGTTTTTCAAAATCAAACGTAATTATATTTTAATATATAACATAATTAATAATTTAATAATTTAATAAATCATGAGAAGAATATTACTTAATTCGCCTCTTCCTTTAAATAACTTAAAAAAAAAATTTATTAATAATA